TGATGGGTGCTTTTTAAATGGCTATTATAGTGGAAAGATACTTGCAGCCATTGGGAGGGATCCAAATGACCAAATGTTGTCAATAGAATTTATTGTTATTAAAGGTGAAACCAAAGATTCATGGAGTTATTTTTTAGAGCTATTAACATCTAATTTAGAAGGTGTTAGATTATGCAAGACTTATACATTTATAAGTGATTAACAAAAGGTGCAACACCATTTTTAATTATTTCTTACATATTAAGGAGTTTCAGACTTACATGTTCATGACTGATCTGTTTTAACTGTAATGCAAGGTTTATTGTCAGCACTTGATGAGTTGCTACCAGAGGTTGACTAAAAGTTTTGTGTTAGGTTCTCATATTTGTACAAGTCATACTTGATATGTGATATTTGTGTGAGTCATATTTGATATTTGATATTTGGAGCATTTGTGTAAGCATTTATACAATAATTTCATAAAGAAGTTTCCAGGCCTTAAACTAAAGGAAGTGATGTGGAAGGTTGCTACTGCTAATTTTGTAAATACTTGGGAAAAATAATACGTAAAATGAGAAGTGTTAATGATGAGGCATTCAGGCACCTTCAGAAGATTCAACCAAGGTTCTGAAGCATATCAATGTTTAGAACTAGTCCAAGGTGTGAAACTTTAGTGAACAACATGTCAGAGACATTCAACTCATTATTTGTAGCTATAAGAGCTAAGTCTGTTATGACTATGATTGAAGAAATTAGAGTGTATCTTATGCAAAGGTGGGAGTCCAACAAGTAGAAGATTTCCAAATTTGATGGTAACATTCTACCAAATATAAAAAAGAGAATGGAAAAGTAATCACAAAAAACAAACGATTAGATTATTAGTTAAATGTGTGTACTTGTAACTTATGGTTCATACTTGTGTTTTCTACATTTGTAACGTATGACTTGTTATATAGTGTAACTTATAGTTCATACTTGTGTTTTTTGCATTTGTAACTTATGACTTGTTATTGAGTGTAACTTATGGTTCATACTTGTGTTTCTCCATTTGTAACCGGCACGCACGTGAAATTGACTATGAGGTTAGGCATATATCATTCAATGGAGAAAAATTTGTTGTCATCCTTTCAAAATATGAATATTCATGTAGAAAGTGGATGTTTACATGCCTATCATGCTCTCATATAATTTCATGCATAAAAGTTCACTAGTTAAAAATTGATGATTTTGTGCCTGATTGTTACAAAAAAGATTGCTATGCACCAATGCTACATCTAGTTTATGGGGAAAAACAAATGTTGTTGATCTACAACCACCACCTAGAAAAGGCAACCTTGTGGACCCAAGAAGAAAAGGAACAAGGAGGCTGGAGAACAAGTGAAAAATGAGTCACAGCTCAAACGAGCAAAATTTGGTATCAAATGCAGTGAGTTCCATAAGAACGGTAGCAATAATGCCACATGCAAACTATCTACAACTTCAACTTAACCAACACCAACTGCAACTTTAACTCATCAACCACCCAAAAAGAAAATGAGACTTCAAAAAGGCCTAAAACCTGTTATGAGTCAACCCTAATAGTTTTACTTTATTGTTTTAATGTGTTCTGGTTGATGTAATGACTTATAATTCCACTTTATAGCTCATGGCTTATAATGCCACTTTTGTCTATCATATGGCTTATAATGCCTCTTTTGTAGTTTATGACTTATAATGACAATTTATGTAACTTATGGCTTATAGTGACACTTTTGTGTGTCATATGGCCTATAATGTCATTTTGAATTAAATTATGTAATTCTGTTACTGATTATTAGAATGATATGGTTATGTTACACAATTCCAAATTATATGCATTTCTGTTCTGATATGTTACACAATTACAAATTGCTTATGACAAATACAATTCATGGCTCACAATTATAAACTCATGACACAAAAATACCTTAACTCATAAAAATGTTGATTGCACTAATAACATCACAACATATACATTTCACTCATAAACTCATGATACAAAAGCACATTTATAAACTCATGGCACACAAAATACATAAACTCATGACAGTTGCACTTATAAACTCATGAAAGAAACAATACACTCATGACAAATAAAATTCCAGTCTAAAAATACATTCTTACAAAAACAACATTCAACACTAAGCTAAAAATCCTAATCACAATTGACATTTTCTACCATCTTATAACGTGGATAACCTGATTCTTCAATTTGTAAATTTTCTTCTTTTGCCTTTGAATCTTCAAATCCCTTTCATTAACAATTTTATCATCTAACCACTTGAAGAAATTATAACTCTTATTCATATGATTTCTGTAATTTCTACAACCCAAAATTCCCCCCAAATTTCACATTGTTCACCCACAGTATGAAGGACACATTCATTTTGGCAATAACACTCCCTTCTCTTGTGTCTATGAAGAATATATCTAGTTGTTCCAATGGAAGCACTACTTGACAACTTTGACATTGGATAATTAATTATAAAGAGGTAAGTGTAATATTTAGTTGTTCCAATGGAAAAGATTAAACCCCTAACATTTTCTCAATAAAATCAACCAAAAAGACCGATAATGCTAACAAAGTTAATTTTAAAGAGGTAAGTGTAATATTTTTTATTATGAGACTAAAGCAGAACTTCAGATTAACTTAAGGGACCTGATAATTAATTATATCTAAAAATAATTTTGGGTTTAGTCTACATAAAAAGTTAACACATTTATAATATAAGAAGTTACATTGTTGTGGTTAATACAATTTTAACCTTTTGTCTTTATTCTCCATCTCAAAAAATATAACATTGTTGTGCTCAATTTTAACCTTTGGCGTAAGTACTATTTTAATTCATGAGTTTACATTTGTTTTAGTGTTGATTTGGTTTGTGGAATAGATGGAATGGGAACTGCTGAGTGGAGATTCGCCAAGAGTCCTACTTATTATAAGTGTATGGATTATATTTTTGAATTAAAGATATAGGTTACGAAAGTATGGATATTATTGTGATGTATGGATATTATTGTGATGTGGCATTGTTGTTGTTTTGGTTTTGGTAGTTGAATAACTTTTTGAATCACTTTTTATTGTTTCGTTATATTAATGCTAATTAATCATGGTTTCAATTTTTTTTAGTATTGACTTGTACGTGTTCACAAATCACACGACGTTTGCTCTTTGTAGCATAAGGTGTTTTACTATATAATGAAAAAAGTTATTCAACTTCTGATTGTATTTGTTCAATCACTATTGCAACTAGCATCGTGTGTTGAAGTTGGACTTCCAACGCTTATTGTTATGGTTTTCATCTCTCAGGCAGGTACACTAATTTTAAATCCAAGGTTTCATTTTTTTCAAAATTTGATTCTAATTCTAAAAGTCTTTATTATTTTCAATTTGACGCGGTATCTTCATCATTATATAAAATATTTGACGCGGTTACAAATTTTTGTGTTTGTTTTAAAACATAACTTTGTTCGTCTAATTTGTGTGTTTAACATCTGCTACAAACTTATGTTGATAGCATTTTTTTATGTTTATTAGTCAAAAGTATTTAAATGGTTTAAACAGATTTTGGAAGTAAGAATGTATTGTAAATAGTATAAATTAAATATTAAATAATAATATATAACGTGATGGTACAAATGTTAAATGTGACCAAACAAGTCTATATGAACAGAAAATATTTATAATAATTCATGATAATAAGTAAAGAAAAAGTGACTAAAGTAGCATTTTTGTTTCTCACTCCAAATATTTTGCAACGATATGAACAGAGTTTGTATGTAGGTAGAGGATACATATTGCTTAATCAATATAAAGATAGGTAATTTTTTAAATATAGAAGATTAAAATATTTTATAAATTTGTTTAGTAAAAATAAAAGTTAAATTATGTAGTACTAAAAAGAATCTTCTAAGTGTATATCATAATGTTGCTGTTATAATATTTAATATTAATGAATGATTATGATAATTAATAATAATATATTATTACTAATACAACTTGATTAAAAATTTAAATTCAATACCGATCTCTCTCATTAACTAAAAATAGAAGAATTCAACTGTGGTAGACTAATCCTACAAAGCAATAAAGAGTCCGGAAGCACTTAAAAATTACTGCTTAAAATTTTAAATAATAATAAGACAAGTTCTGATTTCAATACTTTTTTTAAATAATATCAAAACAAAAATAATATTTATATAAAAAAAAATATCGATGATTTAAATATTTTTTTATATAAAAAAAAATTACACACACTGATTTATTATTTCTTTAAGAAATAATATATTTTTTTAGTTGAACAATCTAATTTTTATTATATTTAAAAAGAAATTCAGTTACCGGTACCTATCGAACTCACGGATATTCCATTAGTGGGAAGAATCTTGTTGAGCTGTGATGATATTTAGAAAAATAAATAGAAAGAGGACTAGAAAAAAAGAGTTGGCATCCATCCATCCTATGATTCCAATTATGATCAGCGTACTGACTCTTAAGAACCCAAACATTTGTGGCCCGGCACGACTTATCCACGCCACACCCAACTCAGCACAAAATGCACAACCCAGACCTCAATCATCACCTCTACACGTGTCACACCTTCCTCATCTCAATTTCTTACAACAAACTCTCGCATCTCAATTTCCTTCTTTCCTTTCCGCTGAGAATATTAGGTCAAAATATGGGAACAAATTAGTGCTATATACGAGTACTGCACACTATACTAAGAAAAAAATAAAGGGGAATTAATTCCTGCCCCAACATGAATTGATTATTTTATCCAATATCCAATTCCAGTATACGAATAATCGCTTTTTTTTCATCACGTTTCATTTCCAATTAGGCAAAATCACTTAATGCTTATTATTATTATTATTATGCCACTGGTGAACTTGCATTTTCGCTTTTGATTTTCAAACGCTAATTTCGAAGTGCCAGAATCTGATTCTTCACCATCATCACCATGTTTAAGGCTATTTAATCAGTAATTAATCACTGCACGATGCGAATTCCTAAGAGGCTCTCCTCGTTTTCTCTCTCTTACTTCTCTCCTCAGCTCGTAGCGCCTCTTTTATCTTCGCGGATTTGCTTTGCGTTTGGAATTTGCGGTAAACCTTGTCGTAGCTTCGTCAACATCGCATCACCAGGTTCGTTTTGTTTCTTACTCTTGTTGTTTCTGATTTTGCTTGAAACGTGATTTCTTGTGCTCTAAGTTTCTTGGTAGCAGTGAGTATTTTATTCTGTGAAGTCTTCATTTGTTGTAGAGGTAGTTATAGAGTAACTTAGAATTTGTTTGAATTGAGTTATTTGAGCTTAACTATATGCATAATAGCGACTATTTGAGAGTGTTTCTGGCACATGCTTTCCAGAATAGCTTATGAAATAAGTTTCACTTTATTTTATTTTATGATTATAGCACAACTTGTTTCAAGCTTATAGCACAAGTGCTTATCAAAATAATCACTTACAAAAAAGATTGTATAAGCTATTTCTTTGACAAATGGTAAAATAAATTTAAATTGTTTTTAAATGTACTATTAATTGTTTTCATAAGTTATCTTTGAGAATTTATAAAAATAAACTCAAATTAAGTTTATGAATAATGCTATAAACTGTTTTAATAAGCTCTTGTGAACAGTGTCACAAAACTTATGACATAAGATAAACTCATGTATGCCAATCCAAACAGACCCATAGTCCAGTGTGCATTGTGAGCTATATTTCTTTCACAATTGCGGTACCATGTCAAAATTCTCTTTCAAGAAAGGGATTAAGCTCAGATCAATTTTGAAAAAGTAGGCAGGCGTGTTGGGTTCATTCTTACATTTGCTGAAGTGATTCCTAATTATTACTATTGTATAAACCTATCAGGTGCTAGCAAGTTGCATTCTCAATATTCAATGGATGAGAACCATGATGTTGGTATGCATGATTCAAAACCAATTGGCAGGGATACGGAAAAACAGCCACGTGTATGGTCATCGTCTCTTGAACATGGATCTAGAACTGATAAAGGCAAACAAATATTTTGTAACCGGTCACTGAATATGAAGAACATTGTTGCCGTGGGATTTGACATGGATTATACTCTGGCACAATACAAGCCTGAAACTTTTGAATCTCTTGCTTATCAAGGCACAATTAAAAAGCTGGTTTACGATTTGGGATATCCTAGTGAGGTCTGTTCTATCATATCAGTCTTACAACACTTTTACCACTTTCTCCTTTTTCTTGCATTAATTATGATGGAGGTGTTAGTGTGATGCGATATGCATTTTTTTAGTTATAGATTTATTATCTCCTTCTTGATTCACTATGTTAAAGAATTTTATTTATTTGCATATTCTTTGCAAGTATCTTATTTTCTGTTATATTTTTGCTAAAAAATCTTTATCTCTTCTGCAGTTACTAAATTGGTCTTTTAATTGGAAGTACATGGTCAGGGGCTTGGTTCTTGACAAAAAAAGAGGAAATATATTGAAGGTTAAGGCTGTATAAATGTTTTTCTTTCCATCACATACATCACGGGAAAAACACAGCAGATTGCATGGAAAACTTTTTGTTTCACTTTCTCTGTTTGACTGTTGAATTGCTGACTGTATGTATTTAGATGGATCGCCACAAATATGTGAAAGTAGCCTATCATGGATTTAAAGAATTGTCAAAAGAAGATAAAGTTGGGACCTATGGGAATACTTTAGTACGCGATTCATTTGACGAGCCAGACTATGCTCTAATTGATACACTTTTCTCTCTTGCGGAAGCTTACTTGTTTGCTCAACTGGTTGATTTTAAGGATTCTAATCCTGGAAATATTCGAGAGGGTGTTGAGTAAGTCCTTTTCTTGCTTGCATGGATTTTGAGAATTTCTAGTGCTTTTATTTTAGATGTCAACAAAATGATTCTAGGACTTAGGAAATTATTGTTTTTATCCTTTTAAAGGGATAATTTCTTCACTAATTTTTTGAAGAAATCTAGTATTTAATAGTGTAGATTAAAATATTACCTTCTCGGTAGATTTGGCTTCTTTTATGGGTGGGCATGAACCTAAAACACTGTCATAAATGTTGGTTTCAGCTGCTTACTAATAGTGCCTTAGAAGGGTGATGTAGCTTGGAGCTAAATGTTAATCATGTTTGTAAATTGCTGCCACATGAATAGTAGACAAGTGAAATTGATGGATAGTGCTATATAAGGCCATTAATTTTTATTTCAAAAAATTGGAAAAACCGTTGTTGTGTGTAAAAGAAAAAGGAATGGATGGACATTCTTTATATTTGCATGGAAACTATAAAACAGGTGGTAAATAGCTTCATTATACACATGAGTACTTGAGACTTGAGATGTACACAAACCTTTATCGTGGCATCATTTACCCCATGTAGTTGACCTCGACCCCACCTTGTGGGAAAGGCTTTGGTTGTTGTTTATATATTTATTCCTTACAAATTGTTATTCCAGTTATGCTCGCATGTATAAAGATGTTCGAGCTGCTGTTGATTTGTGCCACCGTGATGGGACGTTGAAGCAAATGGTTGCTAAAGATCCTGGAAGGTATGAATATAACATCACCCTATCGAAGTGGGAAGTGAACCAATAATTATTTTGCAAGCAATGAGTGTCAGAATCCCAGTGTCATAACTTTTTCTTTTTGAAAATTATGGTCTTAAATTTCATATCATCTATGAATTATTTATGGAACTATTCTGAATTGCTCAGCTTTCTGTTTAAATTTTATCTATCAGGTATATCAATGAAGACACCATGATAGTGCCCATGCTTGAAATGCTTAGAGAATCTGGCCGGGCAACATTTTTAGTGACAAATAGGTAGTTATGAATTATCTATATAAGCATAGGAATAAAAATAGTTTTGATAAGTAGACAAAACAAAATATCTTGTTGTTATTAATGATTAACGGGACAATCAAATGTGTATGTTTAAAAGACATTTTAACACTTTTCTTTTAAAAAAACAATATATAGTGGTTAGCTGGAATTGTCACATGCCTCATACTTAAATGTTCAAAATTAGTAGAGTAAAATGAGTTTCTATGCGTTGATTTGCAAAAGAAGAATTGAAAAGTATTTAAATTTGTAGGGGATTGATTTAAGAAAAATATTGTAATGGATTATCTCAAAAAACACTAGTTGGCATCTTTGTATATTGACATTTTAACTAGGATTTTTCATTCTTTCCAATTCCATTTGCAGTTTATGGGACTATACAAATACTGTCATGAATTTCCTCTGTGGATCCAGAATGGTAGATGGCAGTAACAATTTTGAATGGCTTCAATACTTTGATGTGGTTATCACTGGCAGGTCATGCTCTTCTCCTGGCAGATTTACCCAATAATATTTGTTTTCCTTGGCTTCATTATTCTTCCTAATGTGAATTTTACCTTAATTTATAATGTTGTAGCCCTTGGATTCTTATGACGTGCAAATCATGTGTTACAAAAAAGTCATCGGGCTTTCCAACTGTTTACTCTAGTCCTTATGTTGTTAAGTGAATTGCATTTGCATTTTTTTTTGTCAGACCACAATACATGTCTTCCTTCATTTGATGACACTTCACATGACACTTATTTAGTAAACATGGTAATTTATACTCATCCACCCCTTAATATAAGAATCTTCTTTTTATTTTTTTTATTCTTATTTATAAGACACATTTCCAATTGTTCATTGCATTAATGATTTCTTTACAAAAATACCCCAATTTATTTTACGCATGGAAAAGAAAAGCTTTTCTCTCTCTTGTGAGGACTGTGGAAAAGTAAGATAGTGAAATTATGAGGCTAAAAATTAACAGGGAAATTTTGGACAATTAATTATTGACAAATATTTCTATTAACAATTTTAACCAAATCAACCACTTCTCTTAATATCCGTGAATTAGTTGAAGGAGTCTTATATTAAGGGCCAAAGAGAATATCTAAGCAGTGTATTTTTATCTTGAGCGTTAACTTTTGGGTTTCTGATAGCGTGCGGTGATGGTGTCATTGTGGATTTGGTTGCTAACGGGTTCAAGTCCACTGTCATACAGCGCAAAGCCAGGATTTTTTCACGAGGAAAATCGTGCGAACCTATTTGAGGTTGTGCCTGAGACTGGAATGCTTCTCAATACAGATAATGGCTCTCCTATGCCTCAGGTTAGCACAATAGAACATCATTCCATTCATTCCTTTATATCTTCTGTAAACATTTCTGATATTATTATTTTTTTAAATATTGAAAGGTGGGGAACATCTCGGCGAGGATATTCACAGAAACAAAGAATCACGCTTGCCAAGCTTTCCAGGTACAATCATCATAGTTCCTAAAATAAACATTAATTTTGTTTAGGATTACACAATTCTACGTGAAGTGAATAATGTTAACTTAATACCCACTTTGTATCCATAAGTGTTTGATAGCTCAGCATCTCAATATTTACCTTTTTATTTTTGGCAAAATCTCTGTATTTACCTAGTGATTATGAACATCTGTTGTAGGGAGGCAATGTCGCTCATCTGCATAAACTGCTTTCCATTGAATCAAGTTCACAGGTAGTTGTTGATTAAGAGTACTTGAGGATTGTTGTTATACTTATGCTTCCTGTAAAATTCTGTGTGCTTTATGTGTAGGTTCTGTATGTTGGGGATCATATTTATGGAGACATACTACGTAGCAAAAAGGTTCTTGGTATATCATATTAATCCTTAAAAGCTATTCAACTCAATGTATTTTGCACTCTAAATCTGTCTACCAGTAAATTTAATGAACTTATGGCATCTTTTACGAGTAGAAACTCAAATATTAACTCCGTCAATGTTTAGTATATGTGTGGATTCTGCTGTAAGTAACTTAAAATTGATTGTGGTACAATGTGCTCAATGAATAGGATGGAGAACAATGCTTGTAATCCCAGAACTGGAGAAGGAAGTTAAACTCCTCTGGGAGTCACGGGACACACGAAAGGTGCTTATTCATTTTATTACGTTTAGTTAGAATATTTTTTTATGTCAAGGCTTGGCTTTATAATAAATAAAAATAGAAAGAACGAAGGGTTTAATTCACGCATTAAAAGAGTATGCGGGCTTCTGATATATTGTTGATAAGGTGTGTTTTTACATACTTATTCTCCTCAAAGACCTAACATGCTAATTCACATTTAGGAAAAATTTTACTTGAATATTCTCATGCAGGAGCTTCAGTTCTTGAGGAGTCAGCGTGATCGCATTGAGGATGAAGTACATCATTTGAAGTGGTCTCTCAAGTTAGTATAACTCTGCCTCTCTCATACAAGTCATTCCTGATTATCTGCTTGCATTATTATAAAGTACTTCACCGCTTTTCAGATTCAAGAACCCAGATGCTGTTGCCAAGCAAAAGTTATCTTCAGCACTTGATAAATTGGAGGTTTGTCCTTTATGTCTGTTCCCCTGTGATCCATGGAAAGGAAGTCCAATTTCATACATTTGATAAGTGCCTTTTTTTTTGGCAGCTTGAAAGAGAGAGAATGCGATTAATTCATCAAGAAGCTCAAAGAAAATTACATCTAGGGGTAGAAAGTTCAACTGCAGCCTTTTTCATTTTCTTTAGTTCTCTTTTTACTAGTTTTCTACAATTACAGTATACCTTGGCATTGTATGGCTGATGTTGAATTTTAATAAAAAAACTGCAGTTTCACGAACCATGGGGACAGCTTATGAAAACTGGTTATCAGAATTCTCGCTTTGCTCATCAGGTAAAATGAGACTCCTTAGGTAGTTTAGGAGTATATGCACCATTTTCAACCCAGTATACAACACCAAAATGCATTTATAGTTATATCTTTCTAATCATTATTAGGGCGGCTACTAGGGAGATTTACTATTGTTTATGCAATATGTTCGCGCCTCAAAAAAAAGTTAGAAAACCTAGGAAAACCTATGCATCTTAGTTGATAATTTTCAAGAAGAAACTAATAAAAGTTTCTTATGCTTTTCTTTCTTATTCCCAAGTCATAGTATCAATTTGACCTCGCCAAATGATAGTTCGTTTAATGAACTTGCCTCATATGCATGATGCAGGTTGAGAGATTTGCCTGCCTTTACACTAGCCAAGTATCTAACCTGGCGTTGCACTCTCCAGACAAGTATTACAGACCCAGTGAAGATTTTATGCAGCATGAATTTGGTATTCTCGGTTCTGAGCCACGAGAAACGTAAGTTTCTGGCTCTCATCTCCCTTCTCAAGCTCATTTTATTTTTCTACAAGGGGAAAAAAGATGCTAGATTTATCATAAAATATTGTATAGTTCGGTCCAACCCCTAATGTGGGGGGTGCTAGTGTGCAGTAGCAATTACAGAAATTGAGTGCCATTCAAAAAAAAAAAAAAATTACAGAAATCGAGTGTCTTCGTTTAATATACTTGCAGATGACCAGTTACTTTGCAAAGTGTAAATAAGTTTTCATTGATTGATATTCATCATTATTTATTATTACATTATTCAGTAGTTAAAAGGAATGTAATTAATATATGGTCTATGGAGGAAAAAGGGTGAATTGCATAAAATAATAACTAAGCCACGGGTGGCAAGTCGAGTCAAGTCGTCAACAAAGAGATGGGAGGCAAAGTTATGTTTTCTTATTGACTGAAGGCAAAGTTATGTTACACTCTCTCGTAAAGGAATAAAGGAGAGATGACATTTTGTAACTCTTATTATATTATTAAGAGTAGTTTAGTGGTAGTTATTATATTATTACTAGTATCAGTTATCATGATGGAAAAAATTCACATTCAAAAGTTCATCTAAACAAACAAGAGATATCATATATTCATCAAAAACTATTGGGTTATTATGTCAATATTTTAATATACAAAGATGAATTTGAAAAAGTTATTTAAGTTCACATTGTGCGTTAGTTGAAAAAACTCTTTAGTCTCACATTGTAGCGAGATTTTTTATTATAGTTTCTGTTCACAAACTATGTACTATCGAATCCTAATCACGTAATATGTTATCATTAAATGTCATAATATATATTTTTTTATCTTTCAAAATAAAAATTTGGCGATTCTGATTTCTAAAAGATGCATTTTTTTCATTAATTAATTTAGCCAAAATAACATGCAATATTTATTTTCTCAAAATTCATTCTTACAGAAATACTCATAATCTATTTTTAACGTAATGAAAATTCTTTCCTCTTTTTATAAAAAGATACTCTTAAGCCTAATAGAGCATAGTCATCTTAGCATGTCCTTTTTTTTTTTTTTTAATATCAATGCCATCTTATCATACTGACCCTATGCTAGTTTTAAAGAACTATTATTTTTTTCTTTACAACAAGAACCACAGTTATTATACCAGAACACTAGAACCATCATAAATTCAGTATTTTAATTAGAACTTGTTCAAATAAGATATTTCGATTTACTCATAAAAATATCTAGTGTTTTGAAATACTAGTAAATTAACACAACATTTTCATGTGCCTGAAGCCAAGAAATGTCACGCTTGCCAATTTGTGAATCATTAAGGAATATATCAAAACAAGTTTAAAACCCTTTAATATAAAATAGTTACTCAAGAAAAAGAATAATACATTTTATTTGATGATTAAAATACTAACCACTTGGTGACATGTTAACAAGAAAGTTCCCAACTATTTTTTAAAAATAAAAAACTCTAATAGAATATGCTTTTAGACAGGACGGATTATGAAGCTTCTCTAATAATTCTCAACTCAAAACCCAATATTTTCTTCAAGAAATATTATCTTTAAATCTCAAGTCTAAAACACTCCAGCATGGATAAGCTCCATTAGGCCTCAAAACATAGAAAAACTAAGTTGTTTTTGATTTAGAGGCACCATATACATAATTTTTTAAAAAATTATTCTAAAGAAGAAAATATGATTCTTGATTACCAATTTTGATTTTATTATAATAATAATAATAATAATTATTAACACATTTAATTTACTATATTCATCGAAGATCACAAGTAGGCAAGCGAAGATTAAGTCATTTGTCAAAAATTATATATATTTTTCACTAAAAAGGAAAAAAAATCATACCCAATATCAATGTGTGAAGAGATGAAATGGTATAGAATAGAAAATATATCTTGGGTGCACGCGTGAGTAATTTAAGTCTCATATTATTTATGAATGAGTGAAATATTAGATTTATAAGAGAGATACTTTAAAGTTTTGGATTGAAATGTGGTGTCTCCCTCTCTTATGGTCTTGGAACATTAATCTCATTGGTGCTCCCGACTCTCTCGGACTCCCCAACTCTGATATCAGAGTCTGATTCAGCTTTGTGGGGGAGTGGGAGCTGGATCCGGTGTTAGATCATGTTACCAAAATCGGAGAAAAAACCACGACCGTACTTGTCTTCACCGACAATCATACTCCACCAAAAAGAGTATCAACATGTATATTTTCAACCAACCCCAACAATCTCCACCTTGATTAAAAGTATAGTCACTTGAAGCTACATCACTCCAAGAATTTTCACATTGTCTTCACCGACAATCATAGTTTTAAAAACTGTCATATCTCTCATGAAAAATATATTTCACTTGAAGCTAAACCACTCTAAGAATTTTACACTGTCTTCACTGACAATCATAGTTTTGAAAAGCTATCATATTCTCTCATGAAAAATATATTTCACTTGAAGATAAACCACTTCAAGAATTTTACATTGTCATCACCGACAACCATATACTATATCATGAAGAATAAATTTCACTTGAAGTTAAACCACTCAAAGAATTTTACACTGTCTTCACCGATAATCATAGTTTTAAAAAACTATCATACTCCACCTAAAGAAGAGTATACTTCACTTGAAGTTAAACCACTTCAAGAATTTTCACATGTCAAAAATCAGGTTGAAACATTATGGTGCAACTTCCTTATTCAGGAAACTCTTCAACCACTGACATAATTTTGCACCTTGTGTAATCTTGATTGTATTAACATATCTGCAACTGCAGCCATAGAAACATATCTGCAACTGCAGCCATAGAGCAAACTAAGAACACTTATCCCTTGATCGAACCAAAAGCTCTCATACCAGTTGTTGGAAAAAAAAGCATAGAGAAAAAAGACGAACATGAGGCCCCCAGTACACCCACACCCTCAAAAACAAATATTTAACTACATCTCACAACACTCTAGTACAAGAGAATAAGAGAACAAAGAAAATCAAATACAAGCTTAAAGTGCTTTTGACTGGTGCATATTGGAATGAAGAACTTTGATCCTATATATAACTTTGGACTCCCTCTTCCTTCACAAAACTAAGCGATGTGACTTCAAAGAACTTGTATCTTATATATAGCCTTGAACTCCTCTTCATTCACAAAACTGAGCGATGTGGGACTTCTTCAATATGTATATTTTCAACCAACCCCAACAATATAATGTGAAGTGACTGCTCTTGTGTTTATCGGAGAGAGAGAGAGAGAGAGAGATGAGGGAAAAATTGATTAATTCATGACATGCATTTATAGGCTAAGCTTTCTTGATCAAGGCCATTGGATTAAATAGTGCAAGAGATAAGAATACTCCATAGCCCTTAGATCTCTCTCACAAACTAGTCATAATGATTTAAAGATAAAATATCAAAATATTTAGTAATGTTATGTCACATCAGGCTAGTCCGTCCCGTGTTTATTCTCAAACGAGTCATAATTCACTCATGAATAAATTTTTCAAAAATAAAAAAATTTCTACATTAATCTTTTAATTAAAACAAAATATAATTTTTGAATAAATTATTATTTCAAATAAATTTTTGTTTCGAATAAATTTTTATTCAAATAAATCAATGATCCTTAGTCTAGAAAAATATAATGTGATTAAACTCTAATTTTAGGCGATATATAAAACTTTTATTTAAATTTTGACCAAAATCGGAGTCCGTAAAAATTCAAACAACGATTAAATTTTTGCTTGTTTTCTTAAGAGTCAGAAGAAATTTATTACAAAATTTCGGAAAAATAAGAATAAAAT